TCAATATAGATCATCTGAATATATTATGGCTTAAAACTCAGAATTTGAATGTCATGGACCGTGCTAAAATTCAATAAAACTACATTTGGATGCAAGGGGGAAAGAGAAACATGTGGCTTGAATTTTCCTTAAAACACACGGGTAATAGTTAAAGGGAAAAGTACTTGGGACAGAGTATAGCTGGAGTTTTGCCAGACTCTTACCATTTAAACAATGGTTTAAGACTGAATTAAAATCCCAAGCAGATCTCTTTAATCTCCCCCAAAGGGTATAAGGTAGCTTTTTCAACTTTGAAAGATAAAGTTAATGTAAATACTTAGAGTGAGCAAAATGGGGAACCCTGGACTCGAAGAAGTTGTTTTTGTCCTCTGAAATTCAAGGTCTTCCCACCTACACTTGGATTCCTGCTCTGCCTTTAAACCCCAAAAGAGGTTAGGTTATGCCTGGCTTTTGCAACCATTTCTTTAGTTTTCCATTTTCAACGCCAGCTCCACCCTGCTCTTGCACCCCCACGCAGAATCACAGACACATAATCTGGTTAACACAAATACCACTTCAAGCCCTTGCCACATCCTCCAAGCCTGAACATGCCCCCAGGCTATCCTTTCTTCCCATTTCATAGTTAGGTACAATGAAAAATGAAATGGCATTGGAATGAAATGGAATGAAAATGGTAATTTTGTCAGATGAATGGAATTTGAGGGGAATCAGTGACTTTAATGACCAGTGTTGCTTCTCCTAAGGCACTCTATTTCCACACTCAGCTGGAGTCTTCCTGTACTAGTGCCAAGCAGGCAAATGTCACCTGTGAAACCCAGGGGGAGATGTGTTGATCAGCCTTCCAAACTGCTCAATGCAAAGATGCTTGGAATTCAGCAGTGCCACTTCCAGCTAACTGGCTCTGATTCCTATGGATGCAACTAGTCCTCCTCCCTGGCTGGACTAATGCCAGTCTACTTAAGGAGATAATTGACCACAAGCCAGCCTGACTGACAGGCTTCCTAAGTGCCAGATGCCAACTGTGCCAGTCCCAGCCCTTGTGGGAGGGCCTGTTCTCCTTGGGATGATAGCTAAGGTAGCTTCATCCTAACCTTGGCCCTTAATTCTGTTCTCAACTTCCCTCCAAAATATAATCAAGTGGTTCATTCCAAGTTGTTTTCTTTCTACTTTTATTTTAAGAATATCAACACCTCCCTCCTTCCTCATTACTTCTCTTCATCTTTCTCAGGGTTCACTTAAGTGGGATACAGGCTAAACAACTACAGCCTTATCTATCATCCTGGAAACTAGGAGCATGATTTCATGTTGAGAGGGTTACCAAAATATCACCATTAATTTATTATTCCTCTTATACAGGTTTTAGTGGTTCTCTATAAACTTCCATTATTGCCAAACCAATACTTTATCAATGGCTGGATCCCCATTAGCATGTTTAAAATAAGCACTAAACCTGGCTCCAATGTCTTTGAGTGGATGTGTTTTGGCACTTGGGTATATAGATCTGATTCTGGTGACAGCAGTGAGCCTGGGCCTGGGGGGTTCTCCCAGTCCTGGTGTCCCAAAGGTCTGTCAAGACTATTCCTTGCTAGGTTCCCGGCTTGGCAACGCTGTAGTAGGTGCTACTGGGGATGAAGCCCTCACAATACAGTTAGGGTTCAACGACAGGCGCCATCTTAGTGAAGAAGGGTCTTCAGGGCGGTGTCCAGGGCTTTAACCGGGGTCTCCCTTGGGATCAGGGCCTTGACAGAAAAGCACCCCCCCCCCCCGCCTTGTTTATTTGCACAAATCCCCCTGTTCTCCAGTCTCCACTTCGTGCACAGCTTCCTTTAGGAACCAAGGTTCCCTTATGGATGAAAACTGTGCCTTCTCATCTCTGCTCTTTCTCTCCTTACTGTAAAAAACAAACCAAACCACTGTGTTTATCTCACTGATGCAGGAGGAGGTTCCATGGCAGGAGCTGGGTGCCGGGAGGCTTCATAGTCCATAGCTTCCTCTCTTTCTGGAGAGGCTGACCCTTGAGCCAGCCCACCTGGCGCCGCAGGTCGGTTTGGGCCTCACCTCTCTCCTGAAAGCAGGACCGAGGGCGCCCCTAAAAAGCACACTGGGCCTTTCAGGCAGGTGAGAAAGAAAAAGGAGGTGTTTTGAAGAAACCCCTGGGATCTCAGGCCCTTCTGACCGGGTAACTTGCTGCTGCTAAACTAGGTTCGGGGCCGGGGCTTCAGACTCACCTGGAGATGGACAGAGAAGCCAGACCCCAAACTTCCCCCAGATTTATAACTCCCATGTCATGGTTCCCTCCGCCTTCTTTCTTTTTTTCTCTTTCAATAGTCCCAGAATAACGGAGAGGAAACCCTCACAGGAAACCTGGCAGTCTCAAGCTGGAAGAATGGGATATACTCCCGAATTGTTTGAGCCCCCAAAACAAAACTTCTGGCCTGAGAAGAGTCTCCCAGGCGAAGTCAAAACTTTGAGGCACCCCGCAATGGGATTTGTAAATAAGGGATTCGTGGAAACACCTATTTTTAAGATGTAACCTAACTTCCTCCCCATTCCTGCCCCTGCCATTGTCATTCTGTGCATGGGTCGTCTTTTGGCTTTTTATTCTGATGAAAGGTCAGAGGTGACTTTCGTTGGGCCTGGCTGGGCAGACGGAAGCTGATTCAAAGTAGACCCCTGCTAAAGGGTGGAGGGCGGAGGCCGGGTCGCGGCTTCCCAGGCCCCAGCGGAGGCGCCACACCCGGCCGGGGCCTCCTGGCCCACCCCGGTAGCCGCTCTGCCTCCGCTCTGCAGCCGCCGCTGCCCACGGGTTCCCTTCCTGCAGCTCTCGCAGCGTAGCTGCTGGCCTTCACCCACCAAGAGATCTGCGGGCCCAGGCCCCAGGCTGCGACCTCCCGCGAAGCGCGGTGCCCGCGCGCAACAGGTCTTCTAGGCGGCGGTGGCTGGGCGCGCTTGCCTAGTTAATGCGGCGGCAACGCCAGCGTCCCGGCGCCAACCCCGCTGCCTCCGTCCAGCACCGCAGACTTAAGGGGGCGCCGTCGGGCACCCATCCCGCTGACACCGAGTTCCTGGCCTTACACGGTAGTCGAGGACCTCAAAATGGGAGAGAGGTGACGGATAGTGGTGACAGGAAAAACGCACTGTTGCGGATTTTTGCTAATTCAGTCTCTACCATGGTGGTGGACTTAAGTTCAATTAGGAAACCGGCATATTAAAAATAGGTGGTGGCCGGGCTCGATGGCTCACGCCTGTAATCCTAGCACTTTGGGAGGCCCAGATGGGAGGACTGTTTGAGCTCAGGAGTTCGAGACCAGCATGGTAAACATAGTGAGATCTCGTCTCTCAAATACTACCGCTAATAATAAATAGATAGTAAAAGAGATGATGGTGTCAAAGGCTGAAAGGAGCAATGGAGGAAATCGGTGCCTACTGGTGGCTCGCCAGTGAATTCACCACTTTGAAGTTCTGAAGTTAAGAAATAAGAGGGAGGGGAAGGATTTGCAAAGCAACCTAACCTAACTGTGGGCACTCACCACGGCCTCATCCCTGGAGAACTGAAACACCTTCACACGGAGCCAGCATAGATATCCAGAGAGAAGCTTTAATAGAGAACACCGCGTACAACAACAGCAGACATAAACAAAGTCACAACCCGAACGCGGCGCGGACACGAGGCGGAGGTGACTTAGAGCCAAAGGGCAAAGCGGTTTCTCCCCATTCTACCCCCCTCCATTCCCAAAAGTGTGTCGCGAGTAAAGTGCTATTCCTGGGGCTCAAGAGGGGGGAAGGGCAACAGCGACAAGGCAAGTTTCTTTCTCATTCACGAATTGAAACTGAAGAATTAATTCGCCTGAAAGACGTAAGCGCCCAAACAGCACACGGAATACCACAACAGTCGCAGCGTGCAAAGGTGACGGGGTGGTCCCCTCGCTTGCGTCCGAGGAGACTGGAAGGGAACAGCCATGAAACGCTCCTGCAAGCGTTAAGAGCAATATTGTCGAGTGATGTGCCGAGTTTTTCCTGCATTCATAAGTTAGGGGAACAAAATCGCGCGATACAAGTGATTTGTTTCCTTAAAATTCCAAATAGAACAGATCGTGGGAATTGACATTATTCTTGGGCTCTCATCCGATTGATACACAAACGAGTTGCAGGTGGAAAGTCGCCTGTATTGTCTCTCTTTGGTTGTGTTTCCCAACTTTTGGAATTTGGGGCTTTACCCTTTAAGCTGCTGCCATTCTCTTTTGTGCAAACTAATTGCTCTAGCGGTTCCTCCTATCCTTTTTGACCCCCGGGTCAGAGCCAAGAAACTTAGCTGTTTCTCAAAGATATTTCGTGGGTTTCCCGCTGTCTCCTCTCCTCCCCTTCCCCCTCCAAAGCGACTTTATTCGTGACACCGTTTCCTTGCCCATTTAGCTGACCAGGAAAATAACGGTATCAAACGCTTCCTCTTTTCCTTCTCAAATAAAACGAGATTTCCTTAGTGGACAGCAGTTTTGTCTTGAATGTTCACGAGAGGCGACCGCCGAGGATGCGACCAGCAGAGAGAAATGTGGTGGCTGAGATCCGTTTCAGCGTCACTCTCTGTTGGATTCTTCCCGGGAGGTTTAGCTCTGCCAGCTTCTGCTCCCAGGAATAAGGGTCGGAATCCACTTCCAATTTACCAGCGAATGAGGCTTTCCTAACCTCCTTCGTTCCCTCCCCCCATAACTTATCGATTTATATTAATTACAATAGAAACTCTTACCTGAAAATTGGCTTTCATTAATCTGATTGTACAACATAGTATAAACACAGACACCTGGAGGGTTATATTTATTTAGACCACCGGAGAATCCACTTTTTGGGGTTGTTCGTCTATTTAAATATCTTCCTTTCCAACAAAGGCTGACTCGCCAGCTCTGCCCAACCTGGCCAGGGCGCCCTCTCCCCGTCGGGTGGTTTGTGCGGTTCCGGGCCGGGCGTCTCTCACCGCGCTGGTCTCCCCTCGCCGGCCGGGTCCCCTAGGAGTGCACTAGCACCGAGTGCAAGGAGCCGCCCTTGCTCTCCGCCGCAGTAGGGGCTGTGGGCTCCAGCAGAGAGGCAACCGGCGAGGCCGCGGCCGCGGAGCACACGGTGGATGGCGCCGGAGGCTGCTGCGAAGCCGCGGGGACAGTGAGCCCCGGCTGCAGCGCGGACACAGGCGGCAGCGCAGGCGTGGGCTTGATGGGCACCGGCACGGCAGGCAGGCTCTGGCTTGCCGAGTGGCACAGGGCCTTGACCGGGACCCCGAAGGGCCCATACTCCGGGCCTACTGGGACTCCGGCTGCGGCTGCGGCGGCCGCGGCGGCGGCCACTGAATCCATGACGCCAACGTGCGGCCACACTGAGCTGACGACGTTGCCGAGCTGGCCGGGCACGGGGTAGCCCAGGTGATGCATGACGGACGCCAAGGGCAGCCCTCCAGCCTGCAGCACGCCCTTGTAGTCCCGGCCAATAATGTTCTCAATGGCAAAGGGGTGCTTGAAGCCTGATGTGGACGCCGCGGCCGCGGCGGCAGCGGCGGCGGCCGAGCCCAGCCCATAAGGTGGGAACTGAGACAGGCGTCCCACACTGCCCACCGCGGCTGCCGCGGCCGCCGCCGCTGCCGCCGCCACGGCCGCCGCCTCCTGCATCTTGCCGGGATGAGACGGCTGCTGAGGCTGCGACTGCTGGGGCGGTTGCTGCGGGGGCTGCGACGGGAGATGCGGAGGCGGCTGCGGAGCAGTAGGCGGTTGCTGGTGGAAATAGTGCACCATGTGCGGCGGCGGCGGGGGCGGCGGCGGCGGCTGGGGTGGGTGGTGGTGATGGTGGTGGTGCGCGGCAGCGTGGTGATGATGGTGGTGATGGGGGTGGTGGTGGTGATGGGGGTGAAGGTGCCCTCCCGGCCCGGCGCCTGGCGCGCCCTTGGTGCTTCCCGCGTGCAGGTGAGTATGGTCGGCGCGCAGCACCTTGAAGCGCTTGCGACGCCGCAGGAAGCTGCCGTTCTCGAACATGTCACCGCAGTCGGGGTGCAGCGCCCAGAAACTACCCTTGCCAGGCTGGTCGGGGCGCCGCGGAATCTTGATGAAGCAGTCGTTGAAGGAGAGGTTGTGGCGTAGGCTGTTCTGCCAGCGCTGTGTGTGCTCGCGGTAGTAGGGGAAGCGCTCCATGATAAACTTGTAGATGTCGCTCAGAGGCAGCATCTTCTCTGCCGAGTGCTGGATTGCCATGGCGGTCAGCGAGATGTAAGAGTAGGGCGGCTTTTGGTCGCTGTACGAGTTCTTCCCCGGCCGCGGCATCGCCCCCGGCTCCTCCACCGCCCTCGGGCCCGCACTGGGCCACAGAGTCTCTCCGCACTCCGCTCCTGGGGCCTGGCTGACCCCACTAATTCCCACTCCGCCCCTCCAGTCCTGCCACTTTGCCCTCTCGCCCTCCAGGCCCTCTCTGCTTCTCTCCCCGGCTTTCTCCGAATTGCCTGGTATCTCCGACCTTGGCCTTTCGGGCCTACTCAGCTCTCAGAAGCTGGCAACTTCTGGCCCCGACGGTTGTCGACTGGCGCGCACAGTCGCGGGCGGGGCGCGCCAGGTTTACCGCCGCCTTCTCTGCGTCTTCCCCCGGGTGGCCAAAGACTGAGTGCTGGAGCTGGCTGCAGAGGAGAGTGGCGAGGGGCCGTGTTTCCTCCCGGCCTCTTTGCTTTTTCTAGGTCAGAGGGAAACGCAGACCAAGCCGGCTGGGAGGAAGGTCTGGGCAGTAGAGACTCTGGCCCTTTAAATCTGAGTTTGCGCCTGCTGTCCTGGAGGCCAGTGACAGCAGGACTTCCAGTGCCCTGGACGCAGTCCCCTGGCCAGGCACTTAGCTAGACCGCGCTGGAGTTCTCCTTTTCCTGGAGGGAAAAATCAGGGTAAGGAGAGAGAATATTGACTTCTAGCAGCCTGCGCGTCTCTTCCCGAAGCTCGCAGCGGCGCCGGGGTTAGAAGAGACGCCGATCCCTAGGCTGTCGCCGAGGGGAAAAAAAGTTTGGTGGTTTCTGAAGTGGCGGCGCCCGCAGGCTCTGCTGAGGAGCGGGGGACGCAGGATGCTGGGCGCGAGCGGCGGGCTGGAGAAGGTGTCTGCGAATGACGGGTAAGTGCTAGCAGGGGAAACCCAGCCGTCTGCGCCGCAGCTGCCGCCTTTCTCCCGGGCTTGTCTTGAGGAGGAGAGGCGGCGGCAGTGGCAGCGACGCGCTCTCCTGGCTGCGTTTTGTAATGGTCCCCGAGACGCCGAGACCCCCGCAGCTAGCGCTTCGAGACTATCACATGACCGAGGCTGAGGGACTCAGCCGCCGCCGCCGCCGCGTCTACAGCTGAAGAAGGGGCAAAAAGGCGCCGTGCCTGGCCCCCGCCCCCTTTTCCACCTCGTTTCGGGCGCTTTCCACCCATCGGGTTCACCACTCGCTCGGCAGCCCCCAGCCACGGCCGGGTGCGGCGGGTGGCGCAGGCTGTTCGCTGGGAGGGGGCCCAGCTCCATGTGCGGTTCCCTCTGCTGCGCCCCACCCGGGCCACCACGCACGGTAGAGGGGAATAGGACACTGCTTTCTTGCTTGTCTTCTCTCTGGCATCTCCCTCTTCCGACCCCTTCCTTTTACCCTTCCCTGTTTTCATCTACTCGCTCTGAGCTTCTCTATCCTTAAAAACCCTTTTTCCTAGGCTAGCCACTCCGGGTCAAGTTCAGAGTATCGTGTCCTCAAGGCCTCTTCTTGAGCCCCCAGTGACCAGAGGGCTGGAGGGAAAAACTCATGGGGGGGAAAGCATGGGGTGTTTTCTCCAAATGCCAAATTCATCTCAATTTTATTGCGCGCCAATTGCATGTGAGGCTCCAGGTGCGGAGAGACAGGAGACAGTATCCCAGCTCCACTATCGCGGTATGGAGGGCGAGAAGGACAGTAACTAGGAAATCACGAATAGAATATACACTAAGGGCTTGGCAGATGGAGGCTCCACACTTTCCTGGAGCGAGTGAGTTGGACAAGTTGAGGTTTCTCTGAGACGGCAATGTCTGAGCTGGGGCCAGAAGTAAGATTTGGGGGTTCAGGGGTCCCATCACCTGTGTGTGCTAGAAGGAAGTCTTTGCTATTCTTAGCATAGGGGTGTGGGGCCGGGGCTAGGCAGGAGGTGGAATGGAGATAATTAAATAGGAAGCAAAAATTATCAGTCCACAAAATCCTGGTGTGACCTGCGAGGGAGAGGTGGATGAACCCAGGCGTAAGGTCCTTCTGCTTGGAGGTTCCTGCTCTGCACTCATCCAAACACCCAGCAGGAAACCCCAGTTTCCTGCAGGGAGAAACTGAAGTTGTATACTCGTTTTGGCTACCTTTGCCCTTTGGCTGGGAGGAAAAGCAGAGTTTAGAAACAAGTATACTCTCCGTTTCTGGGCCTGTTTCATTATTTGTAAAACAGGGTGGCTGAAGTTGGAAATTTCATGGATCCTTTCCCGTTAGGCGATTTGAGGAGAAAAGGGCATTTGGACACTATGGCTTACTCGATTTTCCCACGCCTAAACTCGAAGAAAGTCATCGGCCCAGCGGCTTGGGGGGCTGCCCCCCTCACTAGCAACCTTGGTGACACCAGATCGGGTGTTTTCAGCTTCCGGCTTTTGGTGAGCTGCACGGTGGGAGCACGTCTGTCCGCGGGGTGGCTTAGCCAGGTCGCAGGAGTGCCGTGAGCGGGTCAGGCTCATAATTTCCATCTTTAGCCAGGAGCTAAATCTCTGGCTAGCTCTATGTGGCCAGTTTGTCCTAGGCCAGGAGACGTGTGAGAATAGATGTTACAATCGAAGCTTGCAAGAAGGCCTGGGGGAAAGAGCAACTTCTTGGTCCTAAGCCCTTTTCAGAGGAGGATGTTTTCTCTTTCACTGTATGCCAGAAGCGTTCCTCCTGCCATAGGAGTTTCTGCGGGATTTTTGTCCGCTGAGACACTTTAGAGAGCCGAGCAGCGGACAGCCTCTTGGCCTCAGGAAGCCACAGAACTCCACGGACGCTCACAGTTTGACAAGAGCCTGCTGGAGTCAGGTGGCTCCTTTTCCTTGGAACAAGACGGGGCGACAACAGCCCTGTCCCAGCCCAGGAAGCTGGGGTCTCCTGCACCGCTGTCAGGCCTCTGCTGAGGAGCTCTGCGTGTCGCGCGCGTAAGGGCTCTCCAGACTTCGACCCCACACGCAGCTCGAGCAAAGGGATCTTTTGTTGGTACCTCGGATAGCATCTCTTCCGCGGGTTGCTGGAACAGCAGAGTCTTCTTTTGGGGAGCAGCTCTGGGACCGTGCCCGTTGGTCACTTGCGGCGCCTGGGAACAAATCGAGGGGAGGGGCCCTTTAAAGACTCCCGGGACAAATCTTGGGCGCATAACACGAACCCTGAACACAAAAAATGAGCCAGGCGCTCACGAGGTGAGCTTGCTACAGGCTGCAGACCCGCCACCACAACCTCGGGTTCAGCGCCAAGGGACGCCAGGGGCTTGGCCAGCGTCTTCGGCCTCGGCAAGCAGAGTTCAGCTGGTCGGGTTCCACGCAACCTGGGACAAAACAGTCGCGGAGGCTGAGCGAAGCGCCCCGAGCCTCACGCTTCCACATTCAGGTTGTGCTTGGTAAGGGTAGAAAGTGCTCCCCACCACCGAGGCCACAGTCGTACGCGGCTGCCCAGGCCACAATGCGGCCTAGAGCGCAGACGGGGAGCTCGGGTCGCGTGTCTGTTTTGGCGAGTGGCGGGCCGCGGCCGCCGCGGAGGATCCTGGGGGATTCCAAGCGCGGCGCGGGGCAGGGCTGCAGAGCTGGGGCCGCGGTGGGGGAGCGCGCTCTCCTCTTCCCCTACTTCCCGGGAGGTTAATTCCGACAAGTTTTGCAGGCGCGCAGTGGCACCGGCGGGGGCAGGAACGCGCGCGCTCCAGCTGCCTGCAGACCCCTGCTCAAGAAAAACAGATCGTGTAACCACCCTGGCACCAACCAGTCGGTTTCAAGTTTCCGCGAGTAATTTTTTTCTTTGTTTTTAAACAACTACTGCACTATCCAAATATTGGCTGGCGCTCAGGACGCTGGCAGGCAAATCATTGCCCCGGGCTTAGTGTAATTATCTCAGGCGTATTTGGTTTACCCCTTAGGCAATTGTTGGCGACGCTATGCTAGGAAGAGGGGTTCCATGCAAGCTTTTATTGCGTTTAATTGGCTCTATGGAGGGGAGTAAAAAACGATGTGGAACTTTAGGAGAGGTTATTTATTCATTCTCCTCCATGCCCCCAGTCCCTGGAGGGTCTCACGCGCTCCTTGGGCTGGATCGAGGCCAGGCCTTCCCACGGCTTCTGCGGACAGCTGTGCCCAGGGCGAGGAGGAACACAAGTTACCGATAGGGCTAGGACGACGTGCAGGGCTAGAAAGAAGGCAAAGGTTTACGCGCACATCTCAATTTCCATGGGTTCTCCCTTTACCCACTGACTTCTGACGTGCGGAAGGTTGCCTGGGTTAGTTACGTTTGGGGTCATCCCAGGAGCCTTCCTTGTCATGCTAGCCTGGCACTTGCCTGACCTTCGGCTGACTTCTCGGCGCATACTTTTCCCAGACGAAACTCCTAAAGTGGATTTGAAGAGGGTGGGAGAAAGCCAGCCCCGGAGCTCGGAAACGTGGCTTCCAGCTCGAGTCCAGACACCACTGGGTGGGTGACCCCGGAGGGGTCATTTCATCGCTTTGGACTTCTTTTTCTTTCCAGGAAATACTCAGCAGTCAGAACTGAGCCTTCGAAGGCTCCAAGGAGTTGAGGTTTGAAGCTGTGATCTCGACGGTGGAGTGGCGCTGGGGGCCTGGACGCTCGGCACGGGGCGCTCAGGATCTGTGCAGCTCGGGACGCGGCGGGGCAGCAGCGCCACCCGTCAACCCCTTATAGCGTTTTAGGAATCCGTCGCCTCCAGCGTCACCAGCCCGACCTGACAGCTCGGCGAAGTGCATCCCTCCCCCGTTTCCGACCCGTCCAGCCCCCCGCCTTGCCCGGCAGGCGCCCAGGACACAGGTGTTGGCTCCGACCCTACTTGGATTTGAATGCATAGGCTCGATTTGACTTTTCGGAATGCTCGAGGGCGGAGGGCAGAAGGGAAAAGGCTGAGGCCAGGGGCATTTATTTCATGGAGAAAAAAAGCACTGGCCTTGAATTTAGGAGATGACACTCGAGCTGCAGCTTCGCCACCTACTGGCTGCCTCTTCTGTGAGCCTCAGTTTCCTCTTCTCTAAAGTGGCGATGACCCTATTGCCTTAAAAGTGCGATTCTGAGACGCGGGATTATGAG